CAGAAATCATTATAATATGCTGATTTGGTGCTCAAGAAGCATTTCTTTTTGTCATAAATAATATTTTTGTAAACTGGCCACAGTGCATTTTTTCAGAATACGAACTATATACAGGAGGGGAAAAAAATAAAAGTTAATCGATTTTCTATAGATTCGGTCAACTCAAATCTGCAGACTGGCTCTGACCTTTGGCAACTAGTGCCAACTTCTCCAGACTGTAAATCGACTGTAAAAATCGTGTAATGTGTTCCAGCCTTAAGAGACTATAGATAAGTTGACATCCATTTAATAAGAGGCTTCATAATGAGGATAGTTTCTGTGTTCATCCCCATGAATGAAATGTTTCATTGGTTTGTTTTATTTGATTTTTGAATATGTTACTTAGCTGAACTTGGACTAGTCTATATGTTGCAATGTGCTTAAATGACACTTCATTATGAATTTATAACTGATCAAATTTAATGCCTTGTTGCTTGAATTTAGTGTTCTGTTTTTTTTGTGATTGACTTTGTACCTTCAAAAAAATATATTTTTCAATTATTCTTTAAAAAGGTTGTTTAAAATAAACAAGAATTTTTAATAAAACATGATGTGAGCTTAATGGGAACAGGGGCGTGCTTAAAGGGTACAAAAATGTACATATTTTTGTGAGAGATTAATATTTTATTTTAACAATTTTTTGTACTGAAACCAATATCTTGTGCACTAAAAATGTCTCAATGTAGATTTTGGTGAGCTTAATAGGTACGTTTACCCTATATATATATATATATATATATACATACATACATATATATAGTTACGGTTTTGAATGCCTCATGTCGCCAGCGGTCCCAACTTTTAAGATCAAAGAGTGTGATCACTTTTCCACATATGGTGAGTGCGGCGGGCATTACGAAGTTCTCCCCAGTCCACCAGTCTTGCTGGCAATATCTTCAGGCAGCATTTTATCCTGGGGTCCTACAAAGCTCTCATCTTGTCCTTTCTATGGCCGGCCAACCAATGAGATGTGAATAGGATTAGAGCAGTCTGCCATGCATGATGGAACCGCTTTGATAGGCGCTCTGCTCTCAGAAGAACACATGTCTTGGGAAATGAAAGCTTCAGCTGATGGTTTTGAAATAACACAGAATGTGAAAGGCACAGTGTTTGAATCTTTCTTGCTTTGGCTTTTTATACATTAGATAAAGTATTGAATATATAGATCTTTTTATGTTAAATTGAACCTAAACAGATTGTCCAGATTTGTGGTGAGTCACTTGTGTAGTAGTATTCTTCATTTGTAAGTTGCTTTGGGCAAAAGCATCTGCTAAGTAAATGGATGTTAATTTAATTTGTTTAATATGCAGTTTTTTCAAAGAAATGTCTTTTCAATTCACATCACACATGTTAAGATATTCTTTCTTTTGTTTAAGCGATGAAAGGCTTCTGTGAGGAATCCTGAATGCCCAAGTCAGGAGTTGGGCAGGTTTTCTGTAAATGGAGATGGCCCTCCTTCCCATTAGTGTGGCTCTGTTTCAGTCAGCATTGGGCTCTTGCCAGTGTGTCAAGGTGGCGTAATAATGAATCAAATGGGTGGACGAGAAAAGAGCCAGGTCTGAATACTGCCTATCGCAGAGTGCCAGGTCCTCTGCTAAACTCTGCCGAGAGGGAAGGTTCAACCTTCTGCCATGAAAGATCACGTCTGTCTCTTTTCCACTAACCCGAGCCTTCTCTCCAGCTTGCACGCTTTCATCTTCTCCTTCACTCTCTCTCTCTTTTTCTCCTCTTTCTCATTCTCCATAGCTTAGTGAGTTTGTGGATGTGGGTCAAGAAAGACTAGCAGCCCACCTTTAGCTGCTATTAAAACCGCCTTCTGCAGATAAAGACTAGGGGTGCTCCAGTTGATCGGCTACCGATCGCTATTGGCCGATAATCGTTATGGGAAGTTAACCCCTTAACTGTCATCCCCCCCATTGTTGAACATAGATGTGAAACTGCTAGGGATGTAACGGTATGAAAATGTCTTTTCACGATTATAGTGACCAAAATTATCACAGTTATCAGTATTATCACAGTATTGTTAAAATGTGCTGGAGATGTTAAAAAAGTACAGACACATAAATCACTTCAAGTTTTATATTTAAAAATCAACAAACAACAAATAAAATGACTTTTTGTTTGCATAATCACTAAAACAATAACATTACCAATGATGTTCGGATTTTAAATGACAACTTGACTGACAACAGTTTAATAGCATGTTGAAATATCTAATGTAAATGTTCAAATAAAGCTTTGAAAAAGTTTAATAAAAAGGTAAACCTCACATTTCAGCCTTTAAATAAAGAAAAGATATGTCAAAATGATAATTGATTAATAAATGATTATTTGTATTTTATCTGCTCCATAAATAATTCTACATAACTTATCTGGATTGTTTAAATGTGTAGAATCCACATAAGCTTGTTTTTCATCAACCGGTCAAAATTTACAGCAGGGCATGCAAATTCGGCCCGTTTTAGGCCAGACAGAAACTGCAGGCAAGTTGAATGTAAATATAAGTCTGTAAATCCACTAGCTAACAGCAGGTAGTGCTTATGGAAAAGCTGAATTACAGCTGTTTCCCGTAACCTCCGTGGACAAAGCAGTAGACTATTGCGATTAAAACACTTCCTTTAGGTATTACATGGAGCGAAGATGAAAACAAAATGCCATCGAATCGTTTCTGAAGACAGTCAGAACCTTCAGAGGTACATTCATATAATTAATTCATTCATATATTCATTTGTATAATTCCCTTAGCACTCTTTTAAAACCTCCCAGCTTTTCCGCCCTGTTTTCACTCAAAACGAAACTACTCTGCGTGCTGTGCGCATGTGAGACTGTTACTTAAAACTATGCTTTATGCTGGACAGTATTTATTTATCGCGAGTTGTTCAAATCGTGGTAATCTAATACGGTTTTAATGATAATTAAAAGATGAAACGGTAATACTAACCGTGGGGAATTTTATCATGATTTATCGTCAAACCGGTAATCGTTACATCCCTAGAAACTGCACTATCCAGACTTAATTGTTATAATTTAAATATAATGCTTTAGAATATATGTTGGACTCTTTTTAAAGAAGGCAATAAGCAGATTATTGCAGAAGTGGAATCTTTCCAAAATATGAAAGTATCAAAAAGTTATAGAAGTTTAAATTTACTGTAAAGAAAATGCACTATACTATTTTATATTTTATATAAAATAAATATTTTACAAAATATTTTTTAATCCAAAATTGCTATAAAAGTAATTCTTTTTGTCTTAAGTTATATTCCAAATTTGAAGTTGATATGAAAAAAAATTGAGGTTCCTGTGAGATTTTATTTAGGGCCTTATACCAAAAACAGCCACCGGGTGACATCCAAACTCCATTGAATTTTTTAATGCATTTTTTCTGTCACAAATGTATGAATTTCTCTCTCAATATTACTGCTATCACAAAATAATCACCAAATATGGAATCTTGAAACTCAGACCTTTCCAACAATATGTATTCTCAAGATTATAAAAAGTTTTGATTGTAAAATACCGTAATACATTTTGTAATATGACATTTGACCCCGCCTGCTAAGGGGGAGGAGACTGCCAAAAGATTTAAAGTACCATTTCCAAGGTAAGGCAATGTCCGATTTCAAAATAGTTTTCACAGGATGAAATTTGAGGTTTTAAGCTTGACATATAATTTATGATGATCAAATGATCACTAAAATAGTGGAAAAAGACAACGAATATGCTCAACGTTTGCTCAACAAATCATTGTGTTTATGATTATTAAAATAAATGAAAATTTGTCCAGCTAAAATAACTGGAAACAACTGACACTGTGAAAGCTTTGTACATTCAAGTTAAAAATGGTTGTGCCAACATTTATGTTAAAAAAATTGGTGGGAAAAAAAAGATTTTATTATGGAAACTGGTTGCCTGTCAATAGTCAGTTTTACAGTAATTGATCTGTAAAAATTGACTGTATAGAAATTGGAAAATTTTACAGTATAGTGGGCCTTATAAAAAAAATTGACCACAGAATGCCATTATAGCCTAATTACTTATTTCAGAACATTTTAAATATATGAATTTAATCAATGTATATTGACAAGACATGTTTTCCTTCCTATTAAGTGTTAGTTATGCTTAAAATGAAATATGACACAATTTATGTAAAGATCTACTAAGTAATACTTACCCAAGAGCCACAAACAAGGAGTTCCATTTCTCATGCACAATGATCTTCTGTGCACTGATGGTCTTTGAGCCGTCCTCAGATACTGACAGGTCATGTTTACCAATATGCACCATGTAGTTGCGCCCAGAACTACAGGAGAGAAAATGCATGATGGTTAAAGATTAAAGTCCAGTTGAAATCTATTGATGTCCTCAAATTCACAACATTGAACACAATTGAAAATGATATGTTCATTTGACATATGAACAATATATTCAACTAATATACTGGGCACTTATACCTGATGCAGTGAGCAGCAGTCATCACCCAGTTTTCAGCAATGATAGATCCTCCACAAGTGTGATACCATGAGCTACCACTCTGATACTGCAGAGAGATCTAATTATGGGAAACATAAAAAGCTAATTAAACATACAAATACATGCTCAATTTAGAGACTGCTCAAACAGTAGAGCATTGCACTAGCAACACCATGATCATGGATTTGATCATGGGTTTGATTCCCAGGGAATGCATGATCTCATGAAATAGTTTGCCAATGGCATAAATGTAATGAAGAGAGGGAGAGGATGTAATGACAAAATGTGTAAAGTAAACCTGTGGCAGAAAGGGTGACTTAATGAGACAGAGGTAACAAGAGGGAATGAGAACTAAAGGCAGACAAAATGGTGCTACATTACATACCTGCCAGGGCCAGCTGTGGGGTCTGGCCTCCTCTCCATTGACCACACGAGAGCTGAGAGGCTCAATGGGTGGTTTTCCACACCCAAAGGCTGCAGTAGAAATTCAGAATAAAAACTTTACACCATTTACATATATAATAGAACAATATCTGTATTCATTATGTTGCAGGCTACTGAGTCTAAGTCTCCTGAGCACTTCTGTTCAGGTGTGCAGACTTCTTACCGCTAGCGATGAGCACTGATGCTAGGATGAGGGCGAACATGGTGACTCAGATCAGCTGCCGAACACTTGCCCACTTTTAAACCTTCTCTATTAGTGATGTCACACTGGCAACACAAAATTATGAAATACGTGCTGCATGAAGCGTTCCACCTGTTTTGCCTGGAAAAAATTATCACCCTTTGAGCAGCTGCTTTCCTTGAATCCATTCACACAGCCTTCATGCACAAACCTCTGACTAAGACTGACTAAGTTCAAATAATTTATACATATTAACATACAGTCCTTAACAATTTAGCATTCACATAAAAAAGAAATCATCCTTTGAAGGGAAACAGGTTTTCAGTTTATATTTGCTATGAAATTTGATCAACTTTTTTTTTCTTTCCTGGGAAATAATATTTGAAATGGTTAATAAAGATGTAAGAAAATGGAATAAATAACATCTAGCTAGCTAGAATATACACTACTGTTCAGTAGTTTGGAGTTGGTAGGAGTTTTGGTTTGTAAGAGTTAATGTTTTTAAAGAAAGACATTTATGTTCACCAAGGCTGCATTTATTTGATCAAAAATAAAGTAGAAACAATAATATTGTGAAATATGATTAAAATTTAAAATGTTCTCTTTTAATATATTTTAAAATGTCATTTATCCCTGTGGTGGAATTATTCCCATCCTCAGGGTCACATGATCCTTCAGAAATCATTGTAATGCTGATTTGGTGCTCATGAAACATTCCATTGCTTAATATTTTTGTGGAAACTAAGATATATTTGGTCAGGATTATAGAACATTATAAATGTCTTTACGGTCACTTTTGATCAATTGAATTTGCTGAATAAAAGTATTAATGCCTTTTAAAAAGTATTACTAACTCCAAACTTTTGATCGGTAGTGTAAATGAATCATATTTTGAATCAAGTTATAACATATGTTGTTAGTGATTGTTTTTCTCATAGTCACTGTGAACTATGTTACATTTGAATGTACTGTAGGTATAACCTGTGGTCAAGTTTGAATGAGGTCAGCAGATGGTAAGTTCTCAGGGAAATGAGTTTAACATCAGGAGTGACCTATGTCTGCATTAACTTTTTGCATTTTGGGGTCAGAAAATTCAGCCAAAGAATATTGCACTATTAAGTCATGATATCATAAAAACACATTTTGGCCCCAGCTTGTGTTTTATGACAACTCCCTGTTGAATCATATAATTAAAATGAGCATGTTTTCCCTTTGAATATTTTAATGTAAAAATGCATTAAAGCAAGCATTTTAGTCTTTAAACACATTACCATTGTCATGAAGTTTGTTTTACATTTGGATGTAGTACACAGCTAATTACAGCTGAAAATGTATTTTGAACAAAGACACCTGAATATACAAACACTGAGTTTATCTGTTGTCCAAACAGCAGTTTGGTCATGTATAGTTTGCACTTTGACATGAGGATTAAAAAAGTGAACACAAGTGCACTTATAGTGTTTATTTCTAAACATCAAAGTCAGGATTCAACCTCACAAAACCTACTGCATTAGATGCCCTCTTCTTATTCAAAGGATAATGTTTTGAATGTTCACCCTAAAAGCCCTGCAGAAAACTCATTAGCCTGCGTGGAGATGCTTTAATCTCATCTAGATGACAGTGTATCCTGAAGTCTGTCAAAGAGAGGATAAGATTGTCATGCTGTTGTTGTGTCACCCTGCTGCTGATGAGGTTAAGGCTTTTGTCATCTCAAATAAAATATCTTGTGTAAAAATGACTAAAATGTAAATCTGTAACTTAATGCTATATGTTTTCACGATGTTGTCATTTCCGTCTGTTTTCCCTAAATGTCAGAATGTTCACATTCAGAATATTACTATAATACTTTGAACTTATAAACATTAGATTTTTTCTTTCTATTCCAGTGTTTAAATAGTTGTTGATGTTTTATAAAGTTTTACAAGGAATACATTAATATTCTACAAATGTATGACTATATATAAGCCTCTCTTTAGATGGCAGAAAAGAATTAAAGTTTTGAAAGAATTAACCACTTTTAACAGTGATGTTCATAAAATTAAACAAAAATAATCTCTCATTTTACTTAATCAAGATGCATGAAAAGCTTGATTTTAGAGATTAACAATCTCTCTAACTAAATAATGAAGCAGTTAAGTATTTAATGTGTTCACTCTCAGTGGCACACTGTATTGCTTTGGCTCTGTACAAAGTCCATTTTGCTTTAGATTTAGCCCATCCCACCATGTCATGTGTTTATGGGACGGTCTTATATTGTCAGTATCTTATTGCCTGTCTGTTCTACCTTTTTTTTTTCGTGTTTCATATGTTATTAAGATCAAGAATCTTAACAACCAAAGTCATGTCTAAACCTACACAGGATTCAATGTATAAAGTGCCAGGTAAGCATTTCTGTGCTCTATTACTATAGCCTCATCTCAGTGTTATGCAATCATCTCTTAGGCCTTTATGTTTTGCCACATGGATGAGCATAGTATTTTGTCAAGCCATAACTTCTGTTGTTACAAACTGCAATAAAATTAGCAAATTTGAACTGATAGCTTAAAGTTTACACCATCTATTGTCTGATCTACTGTATGATCAGATATCAATGAAAATCAACAATCAGTTTTAGATAATTTTTTTTTAATCAGCCAAATGCATTGCCTATAAGACCAATTATCGGTTTGTAAACATTCAGGATGCGCGCGCATCATGGTTGCAGAAAACCCGGGAGAGATAGCCTTTACAGCTAGATAGCTTGACATCTAATCAATATAATTTATAATCTTTTTAAACCTAACTATTTTGTACCGTATCCGTGAAATTCTCTAGCTGTAAAGG